CTTGCATCTATAAAGGTGGTGGGCATGTCTTTTAAAAGATCCATCTGATTGCCCAAATAACTGAAATGCTAATTTTATTGGTAAAAATCATTCAGGCCATCTGGTGAATAAAACATGGATGTATAGCATAGACGTGAATCTTTTAATCAACCATTTATCAAAGTTTGTACAGTTATTACAATTGCGATTTCACAGGCTTTAATCTAGATGATTATTCTTTTTTGATAAATTGTGAAGCCCCTTACGATGCATCTTTAATCCATCAAAAATCACTTGGAAAGAGTCAGTGTAACTGTTACAATTGAATAAGAAGGATTCAGAGTAAGAGTTTTAAATGCTTCTAAATAATTTAGAATAATAAATGAGAATTGCTCCCCAATCATAAAAAAACATGCAAACACTACACATCATAAAAAGTCACATAGACAAGAATCTAAACATCTTAAATAAACCCAATCAAAAGCATTTTTCAACGTAAGTCTGTATGCAGGAATATGTATTTGGAAAACTGTCTTCGTTAGGTGGAGTATCAGGACTCATCTGCTGTTACTGTTGATTAAAGGTATTTACAGGGTAACTACAGTAGAAACCTACTAGATCCAACAATATCACAAATATCCCCTCAGGTTTTACATTGACAAGATTCCAACTTTGTTAGAAAAGATGGAAAATGTCTTCATCTCTATTAAACCTTTGGTGGACCCTAAGATTTGAAATACCAAAAAATAGTAGGTAATTGAGTTACACAAAATATTAATAATTTCAAAGAACACAAATCTGCATTATTCTCCAAAATCAATCCAAACCATAACTACTGTACCCCCTAATCAGTAAGGTATCTTTACTGCAGCTTAACAGAAAAATTTGAAGGTCTCGGTACATTTATCGGGATTCGAAATGTCTCAGAATTCTAGTCATTTAATTGATATAAAAGTGTGCAATTTGAAATGGCAAGCACTTATTTCCCCTAAGAAAAAAAACGTAAGCCCAAACCAACCACAAGAATAACACAAATTTTAATACACACCCTATTCAAGCCCAATCCACGAACAGCTAACTTTAGCTGTAACTTTTAGATGCATCACTTCTCTGAGGTACCTGAATCATAAATCATCTTAGTGAAAGACAAAAACATATTCTGCTAAAGTTTAAAAGTGTGAAAATTACTACAGGTCAGAAAAGAAGCTGTGATATTGCCAATACATAAACCAGGAAACAAGGGTACAAGTGCAGGGAATTATAGGACTTCTACATCAGCATTAATGTGTGCAAAATAATGTAGAGGATAATAAATGATAGTTCAACAGAATTTATTGAGTTTGAATATTGGTCTTAGAAAAGGAAAGAACACAATGTATGAGAATCTTTCTCAAGCATTAAATTATTTAAGAGCGGCTAATCAGAGAAAATGTAGTGGCTGCTGGTTTATGATTGTTTGGAAGGAGGGACGACTGATCATTCTTTCCATGCTGAGTATCAAAGATTGAATAAGTTTTTTTATTTAAAGGAAGACTTATATAACTGAAAATACAAAAACGTTCAAATTCAACATCTCAGGTAACCATAATAATAAGGCCTTTGTTTTTTTTTGCTATAATAATCAATGTTTTCAAAGCATTAGAGGATGGTTTGGAGTCCTATATATTTGCAGATGATGTGGCAATTCAGTTTATAAGTCAAAATATTGATTTTGTTTTGAAGAATTCCCAAAATATTAGAACAAATGGTGACCAAATAAGGGTTCCTTGCTTGAATGATATGGTCACAAACTGGAAAGAATTAAACCCTTTAAAATTCTTTGAATATGATTTCATACACTGACTGGTTGTTAATGGCAAGCAGACTGGACTGCTTTTAAGGTTACATACACAAAATGTATCTAATTGACCTAATCAGCGTTACATTATAGCTTTGTGGTTTATGGGTCAACAATCACATCCCTTAACGACATAGTATATTAAAGCCCAGTCTTTAAGGTTAGTCACAGGGGCATTTAAAACAACTTCTCTGTCAGCAGTGGAGGCTGAAATAGAAGATATGTCACTAAAAATTAGGAGAACACCATTGTTATTGAATTACTGGGTTAGTCTGAAGAATCTTGGTCTCGAGAGCAATCAAAAAGAGAAATGTTGCAACCTGACTGGGAAAGGAGAGGAGACAGCCATTAGGTTTTCAATGGGACACAGTAAGAGCATAAATTAGATCATGTCTACCTTTAAGACTAGGCTTAAACTATTTAGTTTTGATAAAGTTTATAGTTGGAGTGGCTGTCCATCTCTATACTGAAGCTATGCTTCTAAATGATAATGCTGCTGGAGTACATAGGGACTACTTTTCAATTTTCTGCTTCATTTACTCTATTCTCCCATTCAGCGGTATTTGTTAGTTCAACCCCTAACTTTTACTTCTCTCTGCCTTTTATTATCATAGTAGCTTCATCAGGTCTAGTCCAGTTTTACTTAGACAACATCTTTGAAGGAAAAATCAGCTGGGCTTCTACCATCCACACTTTGATTGAAGATGATAGAGTTGGACTTGTTTTTCAGTACTTAGTCCTACCTCTCTCCCAGACATAACTATGGGCTTAGCTTTTATGAAAACTGGCTCAGAGCTTGTCTGCTTAACTATTTCCTTCCCAGACAAAACCCACTATGGGGCTAATTTACCATTTTCATTTCTGACAAAGAAAGTGTTTACGGATCTGTTACTTTTTAATGTCTGCTTCTGTCTCCTTGAATCCCCAATCGGCAGAAAGCAAATGGCTAATCCCTGTGAGCATGGTCCTGCTGGCTCCTGCTGTGAGCCTGGTCCTGCATATTATTGATGCTAAATGCAAGTGTTTTTTTTTTTGATATTTTTGCCTTTGTTCACTGAAGATTTCTAGATTATTTGCACATCAAATAATATTAGCTCAAAAAAACCACCAACATTGTTAAATTGTGTTACATTTGGGTTATATATCTCATACTCATATATCTCACTTTATTTGTAAACTTATTTAACTTATAGAATCTCTGATTCTGTTGAGGAAGCGCAGTAAAAAGATAAAGATAAGGTAATAATTATAGGTTAAAAAGGAGAGTTTTTCATGCTAAATATGTTTCTTTTATCATTTGCCATTTTTGATTCCCATGATACTGAGTTCTGAGTTCTCATGAAAATTGAAATGAAGGATTATATTTCACTTTCCCTAACTTCTCTTCATTGACATGTTAAATTATGATAAGAATTTGAAATCACACACTTGTTCCTAACAGATCACCTCATTCTCAATCTGCAGGTTTTCTTGTGGTTTCTAAAATGTCTAAAAAAAAGATTGGGAGGCAACTTTTAAGATAAGATAGACTTAATTGATCTCATAGTGGAGAAATTCACTAATACATTCATTTTAAATATCCGGCTCCTCTTCTGTGGAACAAACTACCAATTATAGTTTGTGAGGTAGACATAGTGTTTGCATTTAAGGCTAGGCTTTAAACTTTCCCTTTGAAGTTTATAGTCATAGTGGCTCATGTTATGTTCAGCTATATGTATTTCTATAGTTATGCTGCTGTATGCTTAGACTTCTGGAAGACATAGGGACCACTTTTCATAATTCTGCTTCATTCTATCTCTATTCTCCCATTCTGCAGTGTTTGTTGGTTCAACCTGCATCTTAATGCTCACTCTGCCTTTTCTGATCATAGTAGCTTCAACTGGTCTGTTCCTGTTTGGCTGTGACACCGTCCCTGAGAGAACTAACAGCTGATCTGCTGCCATCAACACCTCTGTTTATATATGTTGGAGCCTGTTTTTCAGTGTAGTCCTTGTTCTAACTGTGCAGCCAGATATCCCATTCAATAACTTATAGACATTGCAAGGGAAGAAAGACTATGAGAGGAATGCTGAAGGAATGAAGGAGTTGGGGATGAAAAAAACAGGGAATAAATTTGCTGAACAGAGGAGCTAAGTACAATATTCTTAGATGGTTGGATTACTGCAGGTTAAGAGAATTTGTAACCCTGCACTTAAACCTTAATTTGAGTAAATGTATCTTATTTGTTCTGGATGGCTATAAGACCCTGCTTAAGCAGACATGTTTTAAAAATTGGACAATATGCAGAATAGTCTACTTGCAAGCATCTTGCAATTTGTTTTTAAGAAAGGCAGCCAGATTTACACTAAATTATGGAAGGTTTGCAAGAACTCTGTCACTGAAGTCTCCCTGGTTATTAGATTGATTAAAATACATGACGTTATCTAGCATTCAGGAGAAATCGCTCAGCTAAAAGAGAATTCTTTTTTGCTATGCTCCCTTTTCTCCCTCTCTTGTTCAAGCTAGTGACAATGGCTTGACTTTCCCATGATTACAGTTCTCATAAGCATAAAGTCAAAGTACAACTGAAGCCTGAAGGTGTTCAGTTGGGTGACATTAGGGTGGCATGCTTCTGTTTGTGTTTTTTTTTTTTCCAGCTTCATTGGACCATGACCTAAAATGCCCAATTGAGTGGTTTTAAACTGAGCATTATATTGTGGACTGTTGGTACGCTTAGTTCACACACGAGTGAAAGAGGTCACACATATGGAGGATTTTAGGCAATGTGATTGCATGAATGCCTGAAATGAAAGAAAATATGTAGATTCTCTCTTATGAATCATGAAGGATTTAGCAATAAACTTTCCACACAATCAATCTGAATTGTCCCCTGCATAGTTACTGTTCTTCTGGTATTACTGAATGAATAAGTCTGGGGTTATAATCTTCTGAAATTAGTTTCCTGAACTTCTTGCGGTTTTATGGCTCGAGGCACTTGAGATTTTAACGGACATCGTTATTCAATTGCTGGATAATTGCAATCTAAAATGAAATGCAAACATTAGCCCTATAAAAAGCAAAACTGCTTGTTTTTTGTTTGTTTTTCAAAAGTCTGAAGATAATAACATTGAAATGTATTTGTTTTTTAGTTTGAAATAAAATATGGTTGACATATTTCTATTTTCCCTTTTCTCTGTTTCCTAAGATATCCAAGCAGCAGCTTCAGCAGACCAAGGACCGCTTCCAGGCCTTTCTCAATGGAGAGACTCAAATTGTAGCTGATGAAGCATTCATCAATGCGGTGCAGAGTTACTCTGAGGTACAAGACCAACACAGTCCCTTCAGAATAGCTTTTTAAAGCACAGAGACTTATTATTTTATTCATATCATGTTGCATATCTTCCTTATGTGCACCCTGTCACATATCTGCCACATATGTGTCTTGTGAAGTAAAACACATGTTCAGCACTTAGCCGTCTGATGGCTAATGTCTATTGCAGTGTATTTACTTAGAAGATGACGGACAAAATGTCAAACATACTCCACAGTCCTGATATTCTGTGTCAAAATGCCTGAATTGAGAGGATCTGTGTGCTAAAATGGTGGTAGAAAATCTTCACTGCACAGATTATGAGTCAGAGTGTGTGGTTGACAGCCCCTTTATGTAGCCTTGTAATTTTTTCTGCAAAAGTCATTACTGCCATACATGCAACACTGAAAGGCATGAGATTAGATAGCAAAATCTTAATAACTAATTACAAGATAGGCAGCTGTGTTAAGCTAAAATATGAATGCTGGTTACTGCTGTTATTTCTTTGTTTGAAGAGAAAACCTAACAGGAACCTGTTTGTAATATCTAGTTATTGTTAAGTATGAGGCTCCGGGTAATCTAAACGGAGGCATAAATAATGACAGCATTTTAAAGAGTATGACTTAAGTTTTTATGCTCACTGGCAAACTTTATGAACGTTCCTAAATATTAGTCAAAAATGAAAGTAAAGCATTCTTCATCAAAGTAAGTCACTAAGGTTTCAATAGAATTCTTACCTAAGTTGGACACAATAATATTAAAGTCAAAGATGAACTTTTAGATTCACTTGGCATCACTCTAGTAAATGGTAAATGGCATGTACTTATATAGCGCCTTTATTCAAGTCAGGAGACTTGACCAAAGCGCTTTACACTACATTCATTCACCCATTAACGCACACACTCACGGTGGCAAGCTACATTGTAGCCACAGCAGCCTTGGGGCTCACTGACAGAAGCGGGGCTGCCGTACACTGGCGCCACCAGGCCCTCTGACAATGCAGGTGAAGTGTCTTGCCCAAGGACACAACAACACTGAAAGTCGGAGTCGGGGCTTGAACCGTCAATCCTTCGATTTCAGGGCAAACTCCTACATTCAACGCCACTGTCGCCACTGTGGTGTTTGAAGTTGCTGCCAATGTACAGCTTCCACACAGACAGCTTGACTTTTTCTCTTACTGTAGAATCTCCTGATACTAGTCCTGATATGTTCCTGTTTTGAATCATTGCTCCACAGAATGAAATCCTAAAAACCTCTTGGACTAAATGTCTGAGGAAACTGAATGTGACTTCTTTAGATGATGTGGAGTTGTACCCCTTGGGCTCCAATTATGAGAGTGTCAGAGTTTAGCATATTCCCCTCTGTGAAAACTGAAACCTTGACAGGTCTTTTTATTAAAATATCACATTCATTAATACATTAGCTTTCTCTTTCTGCTAAATCCAGAAGCTGTAGCCGCACACTTTTATCTTTAAACTATCTAGAATCAGCATAAATGAACAAATTTGTTAATAAAACAAGGTATTTACTTAAAGTGAATTTTAGCAACAAGTACAAAAAAAATACATACAAGAAATGTAGAAATGTCTTCTTTTAATTCTGAAGACATATATCTTTTAAATGTCATGTCCATGTCTAAGACTTAATAAGCATTTTTACTCTGATCTTTAAATATTTCATACCTGAGACTTTAGGTTAAACTCAGAGTACATGACTGTTATTATTCTTTGTATGTTAACAAACTTACTTTTATCACTCTCTCCTTGGGTATAACTGTATATCAGAATAGGAAAATAGAAATAAAAAGTATGCATTATATCACAGCTATGTCAGTACTACATTCTGCAGCATTATGTGATACCCTTAAAGGTTCTAGATTACAGTAAAATCACAGGAGCTCTGGACAACCTCTGCATTGCTGGTTAATACTACCTACTGGACTCAAATAGCCATATTTCTATACAGCAGACAAAGATGCTGAAAGAGCAATACTTTATATCATGGATTTTGATCGTAGGTGTTAAATGTCCTGTAGCAGGCTGATCTTTTCATGCCCAAAGAGGTTGGTCATCAAAAGCTTAAAAGTGCCAGCCTGAAATGTGTGATGCGGACCTGTATTTATGTAATAGGTTATTATACTGAAAAATATTTTAGCCATATTGAATATTTCTTTTATGAGTATAAATCTTTTTATGCATTTATTTTCTTCCACAATATATATATATATATAAAAACAGACTTTTGAATACACTCTTTAAAACAAGTAGCCAAAAACCAACAATAAAAAAATAATTATGGCATTATTGGGATTATAAGGGATTACGTTTATTTTTAGGCAAAATATGGTAACCAAATGGCGTTTTATCATTGGGTACAATTACTGGATGCCTCACTGTGCCCTGTTCATCTGTTCAAATAATGATAATTAAAGCTATAGTGGAGGATGTTCTTTTTCCTGGTTGATCATGAAAATAAGTGGTTCTCCTAATTGTCAATTTTTCTGGTGATATGTTTACATAAGGACTTCCTACGCACTCTTCCCCATTTTCACTTACCAGTGGTGAGTCTGCCATAGTGGAAAAATTGCGAATCTTCTTTTGGAAAGTAAGCTTATATGAGCGATGCAAACAGCAACTTTTAAACAGAACATGCACGAGGAGAAATGTGATCGTGCATGCTCTCACACACGTTTAATAGGCGTTACCTTTCAGGAACGGGTACAGGGTTGTGCATGTGAATTAATTTTTTTTAAGTGAAGAGGGCAAGTCTTTTCAAAAATTCGCGAAGATCCTCCATTATACCTTTAAGTGTTATGAGAATGCTCAGCCTTCGTTTTTTGCAGATAGAACATGGGTTCTTTGGCCGAAATTTGAACGTATTTTGGAGCAATATGTGCTCATTAACTTAGCAACAAAAACAAAATACCTTGTGATGATGTTTGTCAAAGGTAGTAGGAGAGAATTATTATCAATGGTTAAATAAGTTAAGTAATAGAATTGGTTCAAATACCACTGAGGGGAAGGGCAACATAAAACAATAAAATTACTTTTTTGCAAAAAAAGATATAAACAAATAATTGACTTTGGAAGACCTGACCTGTGGTCTAATGAAACTAAAGGGAGAAGTGTTTAGTACTAATTAGATTTTGAGGGACAAAGAGGTCAGAAACACCATTTCAACTTTGTAGGTTTGTAATACTGCAGGAGAGATCTCTACACTTCACAAAATAGGAGGCCAGAAATTGTAGTTGAACATCAAAACCACTTATCTCAGAATGATAAAGAGTTTGTCAACCCGCAACCCTTACTACTGCACATAAACCAGAAAAAGGTTGAATCCATATGTCCAAACTCATGTGAAAGATTTAAAATCCTTCTTAACTGGATACTTTTGAAGTTAATATAATTTACAAATGATCTCAACAGTACTGCAATATTCAAAGACACTAATAATTACTTAATAAATGTGTGTATATTAACAAAAAATAAATATGATTATTACCTTCCCATACATACTTGGCTGCTTTTATGTCTTTGTCTACTGCATTATTAAAACATATGTTTAATCAATTGCTTTAGATAAAAAGCCAACCTTTGAACTCCAGTGGGCTATTTTGTTAATTTCTTGTAAAGATGGGCAAAGAACAGAGAGGCAAAGAAATCTGACTTAACTCTGTTAGACTCAGCAAAAACGTTTGTTGATTACTGAAAATATGCATAGAAAAAGCAGTGATAATGTTCCCCTCTGCTGTGATGTTTCAGAAGCTGAGAATTGAAGCAAAGAACAAAATGTGACTGTCACAATGACAAATGCTGTCAGCTTGGATGGCTGCTTCCTTTGATGAAGTGACAGTATTGTCTCTACTGACTCTGTCCGTGTTAGCTTGTTGTTACCACAGGCATTAAGCCTTTTGCTACATCACAAAATGCATGCAAAAACACACATGTATACTGACTTTTTTAATTTAACTATGACTTAATAGCTTTTATTAGCAACATAAATAATAAACTTTAAATGTGTCTCTTACATGGTAGGTGTTCCTTAAGAGTGACCGTGTTGCTAAGATGGTGCAGAGTGGCGGTTTCTCAGCCAACGATTTCAGAGAAGTCTTCAAGAGGCACATTGAGAAACGAGTGCGAAGCCTCCCAGAGATCGATGGTCTGAGTAAGGAAACAGTCCTTAGCTCCTGGATGGCTAAATTTGACACCATCTACCGCGGCGACGAGGATCCCAGAAAGGCTCAGCAACGCATGACCGCCAGCGCAGCTTCGGAGCTGATCCTCAGCAAAGACCAGCTGTATGAGATGTTCCAAAATATCCTCGGCATCAAGAAGTTTGAGCATCAGCTACTTTACCAAGCCTGTCAGGTAAGGCACCTATACTTAATTTGCTACATTAATGTTTCATTGCAAGTGTTTTTATTTTTTAACTTTTTATTTTGCCATATTCAACTTCAAACTTCAATTTATGTTTTTCTGATTTTTTTTTTTCTAAGATTTTAGTTTTATTTAGAAAATTTGGCCTTAAAAATTTGGGAAGAACAAGAATTTTATTCATATCCTAAACTTTTAAAACATAAAGAAGTACACATTTTCTTTTATTAGCTAATGAAATACGCACATAGTCTCAAACACTAATGATAAATGACAATCATCCAAAAAATTATTACTGGTGCTATTAGTGTCATTCTAAAAGTCCAATGCAACTATTACATCAAATAAAATACGGTAACAGGAAAATTGCTATACCTGCTTTCTTAAAATACATCTACATTAAGAAAAATATTAACCTGTCTGTCTGTCCATCCCTCTGTCTGAGTTTTTGGAGAACAGAGCCAGTGTTTTTCTTTTGATTATTAAACTTTTATGAGTGAGTCACTCTGATATTGCTACCCCAATAGATGATGAGAAAGAGATCACAATCTCCTCTATAGTCTTGTAGAAAAAAATGTAAAACATTACTTCAGGACCTAAGTAGGACCTCTACCTTCTTGTACACACATTGAAGCTACAGTTAGGTCCATAAATATTTAGATATCATAGAGTCCAAACTTTCACCTTTCCTTTGAGGGTATCCACATTATAAATGGATAAGGGGTGTAGGAGTTTTAGTTCCTTATCATGTGTAGCACTGTTTTAAATTACCCAAGAGTAATTGGACAACAACTCAAAGGCTGTTTTATGGGCAGGTATCAGGGAATTATCTTATGCCACTTTTAGTCAAGCAGATAAAAGAACTTGAGTTGATAAGAGTTATGGTGCATGCATTTGAAAGGTTTTTCTATGTAAAAAATGGTCAAAAGAGCTCTCTATGCAGGTGAAAAAAGCCATTATTAAGCTGCACAAACAGCCATAAAACAGGCTTAAATAGGAAGGCAACCTTTAGTTCTGTTTTTTTATCATCTATCCAGGAGTCTTGGTCAATTCTGTCAGCGTGCACTAGAGCAATCTGTAGTTGTATCCTTGCCCTGGATATTTGGCTGTTTTTGCAGCAAACCTGTTAGAGAACTTGCTAGCTCAATTGGTAAGTCAACCGGTCACCCGCTGGGGGTGATGAGCTGCCAGTGTGGGTCCTTAGGACCCTTCATGCTAACGAAGGGTCCCTTCACCCTTCATCTGAATGCTTTGGGGAGTGGCAGTCTAGTGGTTAGGGCATTGCGCTTGGGATCCTGAGATTCTGAGTTCAAGCCGCACTCCCTGGGACTCCCCGTGCAGGACCCTTACCCCCACACTGCTCCCCAAGGTGATGGGTTACATGCAGAGAGTTAATTTCATTGACCTGTACTTGTGACAGTGTAATGACAATAAAAATTCTGGAATTGTTTGTCTGGATTGTTGGAGTCTTTTGTTGTGCCTGGGTAATGTGAATGGTCTTTTGAATCATGATGGGAGTCCTTATGTATTTCTTTGAATGAACAGATTGGCTGAAAATGCTTTAGTTCCTCAAAATTGTATTCAATCGTTTTAAGCCTACCAAATTAAATCTGAAAGTCTGAATTTCAACTACATCTGAATCATTAAATATTCATTGTGTTGATGTTAAGTCTTAATTAGAAAACTGTTGTCTCCTTCCAAATATTTATGGACCAAACTGTAAACCCAGGGCAGTTTTGAAAGCAAACCTACCGTATTAGAGAACTGAAGTCTGTGGCAGAGGTTTAATCCTCCAGCACAAACAACCTATAAACATTCAACAAAGTCTAAAAGTAAATGGATCATATGTCAGGAAAAATACTGTGTTAGTGCAGCGCAAATGAATATCAAATGAAAAACCTGTTGCGGGAGCATTTATACAGTTATTGCTGCTCACCAAACTGAAAAAAATAAATGAATTCATTACATTTAATGGTGATTCTACTCTTTTTTTGTGTGCTTTTTTTTCCTAATAACTTAAGTTAGGTTCTACTTTGTGTTCTTGGTCACCCAAAAGATAAACATCATTTTAAGTCTGTGGTTGTAATATGACTAAATGTCAAAACATGTAGAATATAACATTGCTGCAAGGCATGGAGTTATTAATAAGTTATAGGTGTGTTTAGTTAATCTTAAAACCAATGCATTGGTTTTCCAAATATAATCAGTGTTTACAATATTTTTATATGTATTGTTTACATTGTCAATTTCTTGCCCCTTTTTGTCTGTTGGCTGTAATGTTAAACAGAGAAACTTTTAAATCAAATAGGCATCCTTGAGATATGTTCCCTGAACCCAGGCCGATAATTAATGCTTTATTGGGGGTGGCATATGTTGGGATTATTCGGAGATAATAGCAGACTCTTCGGTGCTTGTGTCAGACATAACTCTCCTTTCCTTGCTGTCTTTACTGCTCCTTCTGGGAGTGCTGAAAGCAGCACCACTCTTATCTTTCTAGAAGAGATTGATTAAAACTATTAAACGAACAGGATGTGGAGAAAACCTTGGACACATTAAGAATTGCTTAAGGTTTACTGCACAAAGTGGAAATCTCTGAAAAACCTTCAAAAGCCAAGATTGCGTTTTTTTAATCGCACATTAGAATCCGTCTCCTATCAGAGACTGATTAGATCTAAGTGGATTGCAGAAGTTGCTGTTAAATAAATTAGATGGTTAAGTATTGTTTGAATGTCTCAAGTGGCAGAAATCAATATAGGTTCTGTTTTGCATGAGTGTTCATTAGAATGTAGCATCTAATGCAGAGGTCCACTACATCACCGCAGCTCTGTGTATTTTTCCACCCAGTCCTTGTGGTTGCATAACCTAGTTTTCTTTACTTTCAATTTTACGCTGGCTGTTTCGTTAGTACCATAATCCTAGATTCTGCATGCAGATCAAAATGTCATGCCTCTGAATATACTATGTTTTAAGGAATGAGTAATGCATTAGATAAGCTGCAAAATGTATGTACAGTTCTTGCAGTGTAATGTGCCAAATTATGTGCAAAATGGAATATAGTTCAGGCAATGTGAGAAGAAATATTTAATTTAAATAAAAGACAAAGAGCCATAATTTCTTTTCAGTACTTTTCCAGGGTTTTTTGGCATCATATTCACTACAATTGCTGAGGTGACATATATATCAGCTCACAATAATGATGATATTATCATTTAATAAACCCCCTACTCAATGATAAAACTCTATAATCAGGATGGGTGAAATTAAAGTCAGATTGGAGCAGCTTTGACACAGAGCTAAACTTTCTTAGATGTTATCTCTAAGGAATTATTTTATTTGGAGTTACTTTACAGTTAACCAGAAGTAAGAAATGTTCTGTTTCTGTCTCGTGCTAAAGTAAAATCCCCCTTTAAAATGGCTACCAGTCTGATCAGATTGGTGCAGTCGGCTGTTGTGCCAACCAATATCTACTCCTCAATGGCTCCATTAATGTTTATTTATTGCTGCAGCAGGGACAGAAATTTCTAGAATACCCCCCAAAAAAACATGTTTCCATGTTGAAAATATATATGCTTACAACAGCCCTGTTTGCATTTTATTCCATATCAAAAAGAGAAAAATCTCACACTGCAGTCATAGTAGCTTTCTGTATTACATTAGCATAATAATAACAAAAACACATTATATAAGTCAAAATGTGTGGAGATTAAGGATTTTTTTTTTAACATAAAGCCAATTTAATTGTGTGAGCTTGCATATTGAATCAAGGATGTGGAATGCAGACAGATCTGATGTGGTGGGATGGAGTGTGTTTCTTTTGCGGTAATATTAATGTTTGATTTTTAAATTTAAGGATCAACTGACGATATGAGAGATTTAAATTATACTGAAGTTGTTAGAAAGTAAATGGCCAAAATAATCACAAAGCAGGTCACTTCGTTAGTTTAATTTCCATTTTTAAACATTCCGCATGTTGAAGCTCGTGAAGCATCTGTAAGGCCTAACTAAGTGACATTTTTATTGGGTCTTTGGTGCTGTATTTGAGCAAAAGTTTCACTAATTCTGTAGCCGCAGTGCACATGTGCTGTATATAATGCCTGCAAGAATAAGGCTCAATTATGGACTTTAAATATTCTTTTCATTAGATGAATATCAGAGATGACTGTTCTGTCAATCTCACATGAATGATTTTAAAGATAAAATATTTTACTATGCCTCTGTAAGAATATTATATATCCTGAACTTTGAAAATGACATGCATTAGATACTATATTATATAAATAACCAGTCTCTTTGACTTTTGCTATTTAGTTTCTGCACTCATAACATTACTAAGGTTACGCTGTTGAAGGTTTTCAATAACATCAATGACCTGGACAACGGACTCGACTGTGAAGTCGTCATTGTAACAAGACAGAGCAGACTATACTTCATAAGGAAGCTGAAGTCCTTCAGTTTTTGCAATAAGATGCTGCATATCTTCTATAAGTGTGTTGTGGACTGTGTGCTGGATCACAGTAAATGACCAAAGAAGCTGAAGAAGCTGATAAAGAAGGCTGACTCTGTTTTAGGAACTAGATGATTTCAAAAAGAAGAATTCTTCATAAAATAAAGACAATAATGGACAACTGTAAGCATCCTCTGAATGTTTACTTTAAAGGTTTCTCCGGATGCTGTACAAGACACACCTCTACAGAAGACCCTTCCTGCCTTCAGCTATCAACATATACAAAAACTCAATGAAAAAAATAACAGCCCATAAATTACTGCAACACTGATCCCTTTGGGATCAATAAAGTAATTTTGAATAGAATTCAACTGAATCTGCATAACTGCAGACTTTAGAAGAACAACAATAATGGTATCATTGGATCTCAACATAGAATTAGACACTCTTCATCAGTGTGTTATTGGAGAGCATTTGATTTGTTTGAGTAGTATTGTATTTCAAGGTCTAGAACTTTTTTGTGTCAGTAGTTATTACATGAATTTCCCTT